TAAGTTACTTCATGCAAAAACATGAATGTCTGCTGAGTTAACTTTAATGGAAAAACAGCAGGACGAAATGCAAACAAGGCCTGTGCTCCTTTTGTGCCGCGGTACCTGGTGGCAGCGCTAGCCCACAGCACTGCTCTCTGACACCTGCCAACTACGAGCCCCTCAGGCGCCTGTAAGACGGTGTGTGTCCAGTCAGACCGCCCCCTGTGGGCCTGGGCGGGGCCCCTACATCTAACTCCAGCCCACACTCAAGGAGACTGAATCACCTCTCTGTGAGACAGTTCACAAAGAGCACAGTTGGACCCAAGGGCACGACTCAGAAGCCCTGCGGGCGCCTCCAGCCCACTCCCGTGCTCAGGGCGGCACTGCCTTATTCGCAGTGCTTCCCGCCTCGGGCCAAAAGCTGCTCCCTACAAGCACTACTGTACCACGATGCTTTCTCTAACTACTGCACTGAGAAAAACTGCTAGGCTTGCGTTGTGAGAGGCGTAAGAATCAAAAGAATACATAAATACATATTAAACACTAGTGAATTATGGTATAAATTGTGTTGTATCCTACATTGGAGAACGTGTAACTGATTATAACTGCCACTGGTACTCTTGGTGATCCAGTCCTCTTATGAAAATTTAATTTGCCTTCTCTGACATAGACATGAACTACTATCGAGATAACTCTTAGTACCGAGGCTAAAACTCTAGGATAGTCCCACACACTGCAACAACTCCTGCTAACCTCCCTTGGTCCTCACACCTCGCTGCTAAGAATGGCTCACTGCTGACTATGCTAACTCCTGCTTTGCTCACACCTACTTCCTGTCTCCTTTGTCCTGTTCGCTCATCAAATACATCTCAAGCACAAAATCTTTCCTATCTACCAAGCATAATAATTTAGTAGCATAAGCAAACATCTATATTTACTAGAAAGAAAATGAAACCACTTTCATTTCTCAGTAAGAAAGGAAATGGTGACTTTGTTACACCTAGAAATAATTTTACTGATTAATTCCCATTAATGGAGGGGCTACCTTTTCCCATCGGTAGAGAACTACAAATCTTATTGCTTACATAGTTCAAACACATCTTCCGAAGGAAGAAAAAATATAGGCTGTTGACAGGTTTTTTTCTGTTTTTTTTTTTCCTGTCTTTTTGAAACATGAGTCTCGCTATGCAGCCCAGGCTGGCCTTGAGTGCACTTTGCAGCCCAGGCTGGTCTCAAACTCACAATGATCCTCCTACCTCAGCCCCCGAACACTGGGACTAGAGGTGTGTGCCACCATGCCCAACCATAAATTCTTGATGAGTTAACAATCTGTTTTCATTTTGAAATTTTCAGCATATATCTGCCTTTATAATTATAAAGCCCTGGGGCCAGGGAGATGGCTCAGTAGAATAAGCACTTGCCTGGCAAGTGCAAGGGCCTGAGTTCAATCCCTGGTTCAGCAAAAAAAAATAAAAAATAAAAAAATAAAGCCTAAGCAAATAAGCAAGCGAGGCAAAGCGCTCTCATGGCACACTAGGAGTCATAACCATGGGCTGCTACTACTGGAATGGCAGCCTGTAAACACAGAAGACACAACGTCTACTATGCAGATGGTGGGCAAAAACACTAACCTGAAACCCCAATTTTTTTTTTTTTTTGTATTTTTTAGGGAAGGGTCCACAGGGTATTCAGGGTCTCACTACTAGATCGGACTGATCCCCCTGTTTACAGCCTCTCAAGAGCTGGGATTACAGGCGTGCTGCCATGCCCAGGCCCAGTCTCAATTGCCATCTCTGCACGTCCTAGGGGTGGGGCTGGCACAGTGGCCAGGGATTGAACCCCTGGCCCCTGCTTGCAGGCGCTTTAATCCACTGAGCTATTTGTCCAGCCCAATAACTGTATGATACAATGGAAATTCACAAGCGATTTTCTTTACCATCAAAAATAATTATCTGGAGTGATGTACGAGGCAGCTCGCTGCACTGCTAGTGTATGTCCATGTACACCAATACCAACAGCGCTGCCACTGTGGGGGCCAAACCTGGCTCTCAGCCTGCAGGTTGCAATCGCTGAGCGTATCTTGTGAGCCCTAACCAGAAACCACACAGGTAGATACAATGTCACAAAAATAAAACCGTGTATTTTTGTGAATAAAAAAGGTACGCCGGCTGGGGAGATGGCTCAGTAGGATAAGCGCTTGACTGGCAAACGCAAGGATCTGAGTTCAATCCCTGGTTCCATCAAAAAAAAAAAAAAAAGTATGCCTAACTACGCATGGTGCTTCCAACAAGGATCAAGTGAACGAAACAGCTGGTGAAACTACATGACACATTTCATACATGCAACTAACATACTCAGAGCTGCGGAAGGTATGAACATAAACAGTGCTCCTTTTTTTTTTTTTTTTTTTTTTGCGGAACCGGGGATTGAACTCAGTCTCCCCAGCCCCCAGTGCTCCTATTTTATGGTAAGGTCCTAAAAGAATGATTTACATTCAGAAATATACAACAATAGGTACACAAAGATTATGCTGGGGAAAAAATAGCCACTCCTCAGTCAATAATCTAACACAGAATACAAACAAGTTCTCATCCTTAAGATGTATCAGGAAATCCTAAGAAACTGAAGAGGGAGAGCTGAGTGCAGGGCAGTGATCCACCAGAGGGGAAGCCTGGAGGCTGGCAGGGGCTGCAACAGCCCTGGGAGGTGAGGAAGAAGAACGCTGAGGTCCAGGTCAGCCCAGGCTGCACGGGGACATCCGGCCTCAAAAGGGAAACAAAGAACACAGAGGCTTCAAAGCGCTGAATGGCACGACGAAGACATCTTTGAGAAATCAGACCAAAAAGAAAAACAGAAATGGTGAGAGAAATAAAAAAGCTCTAAAAGTACAAAGCAGTGGGAAGAACCAGGTTGGTTAGAGCACGGGAAGTTAAAATTGGGAAAGTCCTTGAAAGTCGAGTATTCTTTTGTTTTAAAAACAACTAGAAACAAACTGCAATATACAAAGGGGAGTGAGGACAGCGGAATTTTATGAAAATTAACTTGATAATGTTCCTCCATATGTCACTATACCTGCAGCTGACTCAACTGCAACCAAGGCACAATCCCACCTCCAATTCCTCCCGACACCACCTGCTGCTAATCCTTTCAATGACATCTCACGCATCTCTCATCACTTTTTACACCAACTGCTAAGACTTCAGCACAAACTGCTACTACTGACCTTACTTCTATTGGTGACATGGGAAAGCACTGACAGAGCCACACCCAGCACTCGGGAGGCTGAGGCAGGAGGATCAGAGCAAGTCCAAGGCCAGCCTGAACTGCACAGCCAGACCCTGTCTCAGAGAGAGAGAGAGAGAGAGAGAGAGAGAGAGAGAGAGAGAGACAGAGACAGAGAGAGAGAGACAGAGACAGAGAGACAGAGACAGACAGACACAGAGACAGACACAGAGACAGACAGAGAGACAGAGAGATAGAGAGACAGACAGACAAGACAGACATGGACAAAGATGTTCCTACAATAGAGCCTACGACCATGACAATGCCGACATTTCTCAGGCTGAGGCCCTCTGAGCCCCACTCCCTCTCGACTAGTCTGCTGTCGCTTCTCTCCGATGCTCCCACGCTAGACAGAGATACATGCTCATTTTCTGTTGCTCTCCTGTCTCCTTTGCCCAGCATCTTCCTCTTCGGCTTTATTTTTCATGTTTATACACATTTTCCACATACAGTGTGGTCAACTCTTCAATGCCTAGTGATCCAATTTTGGAACACCCATAGGAACTCAGTGAAATGTACTATTCTCTTTAAATTCTTGTCCCTTGAATTTTTGGAGATAACCCATATGACTTTTCATGTAAAAATTTAAAGAATTTTCACTTTTCAGCATAAATGGGCTAACTGGATTTTAAAAGGAAAAAAGGAGAACCCCTGAAACGCTGCTCCCCCTTAGCTTTTCTCACAGCCCCCCACTGCTCATGAAGTCCAAGCTTCGGGATGTGCTCTGTATGTGTAAATATGAGCGTATGTAGCCCCTCTGGATCAGTCTCTCTTCAGTCACAACTTTTCCCATTCGTTAATGGGAGTTTAACACTCTGGAATGAGTCAATTACCCTTATTATGACTTTTTTTTCTCTATGACATGAATCACATGAATTCCCTGCCACTTCACTTTTTAACCATTTCATCTTTTAATCATAATTTCAAGAGCCTCTCTCACCTGTGTTAGGTTGTGTCACTCTCCTGTGCTCCTGGACACATCACCGCTTGTGTTTGTCCTCTCACCTTCACCCTTGCTCCAGTAAAATTAACCTATATTTGTTCTGAAGGCATGTAAGAAATGACAGCTCAACTAACGCTGACCTCAGACAAAGGCAGGCAGTCTCTGAGCGCATAAGCCACAGTGATGCAGAGGCTGTTCGCCTGACACAGCTAAAATTCAACACTGAGAACACTGAAGCCCAACCGGCTCAGCCTGCACGGTGAAGGGCTCTGGTCAGGATTCTGGAGAAGCTAGGTTTGTTTCCCCTCGTGAAGTATCCTGTTTGGAATGTACTCGGTGCTAGTAGACCGGGGACGAGGGACGAGGGACGTAAGGTTAGCAAGCTCTGCTCTAAATGGTAACACGGACATGGAGGTTGCTACCATGCCTTCAAGAGTAGGAGACAACAGCGGTACACTCACAGAGCGCGAGGAGTAAGAAACAAAGCAGGAAGACCCCTGAGGGACAAAGTAAGATCCTTGAAGCAGCGCCACCGAGAAGACGCGGAGGCCAAAGGTGCATGTGCACAAAGACTCAAGCAGGGGCCGCGGCGCCCACCTGAGACGGCTTGCACAGGGGCACATTCCCAAGGTGGCAGCACACACCACAATAGGCCACAGCCCCGCAGGTGATGCCAGAGAAGCCTGCCCCCTTCCCCCGCATGCTCTTCTCTCCCGTCCTGGACACGAGCAAAAGTGCACATAAACAACCCTGATTTAATGAAAGAAGATAATAAATAGCTTAAATAACGTACCTTTGATTTTTTGTTCAGTGGCCTAAAATAAAAACAAACAAACAAAAAACAATGTAAATATGAAACTGAAATGGATTGTTATGATCAAATGCTCAAATATTATTACATAAGATATATACATTTTTATTAAATATGGAACTGGTTACTGAGATGAAGTGCACAGGAAAAGATCCGCAAAGAAAGCGTGCTCCCTCACTGTTCCCACCCTGTGCTTAGTAATTGTAGGAGACCGCATGGTTCCTCAAATACAGGCACTGTGTGACCATACGATCTTTAAGAGGAGGACTGCACTTGTTTCATCGCTTAGTTTAAAAACCATTTTTATATAACTGTCACTTAGATGTAATGAAATTGATAAAATTTGCAAGTTTTAATGGCTTCAACGTTGTTACCAATTATAAAAGATGAATTATATTTTTTAGAAAAGCTACATCTAACGTCTTTGGCCAAATGGCAATAAACCACTTCTGGGGTTAGACTGCTAGTATACAGATAACGTGGTTAAACCTGAAATGTCTAGTCTCTTCTGACACAAGTGACAATTCACTAAAACTGCTGTGATCAGAAGCTGAACTGACACGCACGCTGCTGTCCTGGGGCCTTCTTCCACTGTCACTGTTTCTAACACCACAGCCCAGGAGAGGGGCTAGAAAATGAGCAGGGTCGTGTCAAGATGAAGAGTCTCACCCTAAGGGGCGCAGGCGCAGGCCCTGGGCAGAGGCCGCTCATCAAGACCGACTGAAGGGGAGACTGAAAGAAGAGACGGGTGAGTGAGAAGGGGGCGAGCTGACAAGACTGGATAATTAGTAGCTGAGTCATCGACTTATTCTGGGCTGAAGACAAAGCTCATCATGAGCGTGACAACTCATTTTGCTTAGTCATATTGCTATTAAGTTACTCAAATCCTATTTTAATTACATCACTATAGATATAGATGGTAAAAACTATGGAAATTGCCCTCACTGAAATCACACCCAGTATTAACCTTCCCTTCAGGGTTGATCCAAGCACAGAAGTGCTTTACCAAGTGTTAGAGGATTAGAGGTACACAAAATGATGCAGGCCCATCTGTTACTCTAGGAATTAAAATTAAAAAATTAAGTCAGGAAAATGCTGGAAGACCAGTCCACTAGCCTGACAATGTTGATTTCTATGGGAAATCAGTCTTCATTAGAGAGAGCTTAGCAGGGAACCCTTTTAAGTATTGCAAGTGTTGCGCCAAAAAATTTTCTAAAGCCAAAAAATTAATATAAAAATTACTTTGCATATTGAAAGCCTTTCTTTAAAAAACTCTCTGAATCTTGTTCAAAAGATAAGAAAGCACGACCATACTACTAAAACCCAATACTGCTCTCCTAGGTCCTACAATATAAATGATGTGTACAAGCAACTCCTCTGGGAAAACCTCTGTGTGTCACTGTATATTCTGTAATCTGCAGAGATGGCCCCGAGGAGACACCCCAAATGTCTGTCTTTTAGGACACTCAGCAAATACATAATACATTTAAGGACTGTGGTACACAGAAACTAAAACCTCTTTAATTTATTAGGAAGAAATGCAACTGACAGTTTCCATGTTTAAAATAACTCTGTGGAACTCATATTATTAAAATAAGAATATTCCAAGTGGGCTCAGTAATTTCAGCAGTAACCATACACCATTCAGAACAGTAGCCACTGGCCACATGTGGCCACTCCTCACTGCAGGGTGACTAGTATAAACACAAATGTGCAAAACGTAGACAGTACTTCTAATATCTATTTTTTTAAAGATAAAATACCTGACATCCTTTCACTAATATTAATAATCATCATTAACATTACTACATAGTAATACTCTGGCTCTACTGGGTTTCATAAAGTATTTTAAATTATCTTCAATTTTTTTTTTTTATTTTTTAAATGACCTTACCATAAAAACCCTCTGGGTCTCAGTTTCCCTCAAATGGACAAACTGTCTTGCTTATCTTTCGAGGCTATTTGTTTTAAGATTTTTTTTTTAAATGTATGTATTTGATACAGGGCCTCGCTATGCAGTGCAGAGTGGAGCGATCCTCCCGTCTCAGACTTCCCAGCGCTGGGATCACAGGCATTTGCCATCATGCTCGGTTCCGGGGCGAGCACAGCAATGCGCTAGCAGGGACTGAACCTGAGTCCTTGCGCTTGCCCGGCAGGCACTTAGCCGGGCGAGCTATCTCCCCAGCCTTTTCCAGGCCATTAGGAAAAACAAAACATGAAAGATCTTTTTTGGAAAAAAAAACACTATACTGTTTATATGTGAGGTATTATTGGATATTCTCCTACACAAGAGGATTAAAAAATCCTGGCAAATCTAGAAAAATTATTCCCATTTTTAGTATTTTTCCCTTTAAAAAAGTCTGAGCTGTGATCTCCAAGTAATCAGGACGGGTGCCTCAGTTCACTCGTGAAGGCACCAGCTGTGGGACAGGCCGCGAGCTCTGTACAGGCTCTGCCTGCCTGTCTCACTTCTGAAATTCCTGAGCACCTGTCAGTGGGAAAGAGGTCAGGGTCCGACTTCAGGCTGTGAGCCCTGGCCCTCCGCAGGCTGTGGGGCCCTGATCAGTTAGTTAGGTCCTCTCCTGCTTACTCTCCTCCTCCACAAATGCAAAGGCAGACACACTGCCTCAGAGTCGCTGCTTAGGAAACTGAGGAATAATCCCTGGCTGCCATCACCTGCTGTGCTCTGGCTCCCCCTTCTCTTGCCTTTAGACATGAGCTGACTCTGGTCATTTGCAACACCCAACACTTGCTTTCCTATGATTTAGCAAGTAGAACTCAGGCCTCCTAAATAATTAAAAAAAAAAAAAAAAGATAAATAAGACTATGGTACAGTAAGGGGCACACTGTAAGCTAACCCTAGGTGAGGTGCCCTAGGTGAAAGCCAGCCATTCAGCCTGGTTAGGTTACCACCATGGTCACTGAGAAGGTACCAATTAGACTGCTATGTTCTCTCAAAAGGGAGTAAGTCAGAAGGTGTCTACAGCCTCAGTCTCATTTAAACTTTAATTTAGTGTGCTCTAATCAATAAAGCCTGTGAAATTCCCTTCGGCTCTTACAAGAAACAGCCATCCCATCAATGTCAGAGTCATTCTTTGATGCCAAGAGGTCCTGGTTTGTACAGCTGCTTCCTTCCAGCCCTCCACTCCTAGCTGCTTCCCAGGAGCACAGCTGTGTGCTTAAGTACAGGTTCTCCTCAATTCCCCCTCTATAGTTAACCTATCTCTCAGCCTCCCTTTTCCGCATTAGTTTCCTTAAGATCCCCCTGAGAAAGTTTTTCTACAAACAGCCTGGAGAGAAAGCCACGGCTGTGCTACCACTCTTGGCTTCTAAGTGTGGAGATTAAACTTCCACGTTCCAGCAAACTGCTTTCTAGGCCTAAGAATCAAAAGACAGCAACACAGCCCTGATCCTGGATGTGAAAGAATGGCACATTCAGAAATTAGGAGATTTTTCAAGCACAAAAAATTAAAAAAGAACTCATCCAGACATTAACATCTGTATTAGAGATAGAGTACTGAAATATATATATATATATATATATATATATATATATAATTTTTTTAATCACCCAATATTGTATAAAATGGGGCTGGGGAGATGGCTCAGTGGAATAAGCGCGTCCCTGGCAAGCACAAGGGTATGAGTTCAATCCCCAGTTCCGCAAAAAAAAAAAAAAAAAAAAAAAAAAAACATTTTAAATTTATGTGTAAATAATATGCAAAATGAGTAAAGCTATCAGAGTTAAAATATTGTGGTGAGCTCTTTGGTATGCAATTATTTACAGAAGGAGTTATGCTACCTGTCTTCTTAATTTAAAATACAAAATAATCCATGGTATAAATTTAAATATCTTTAAAAGACCAGGTGGTCTTTCTGAGTTAAATAGACATATTTCTTGCATATTCAGGGCATAAGGACTTACTTTATGCCCTAATACAAAAATTATCATAACATATTATTTCCCAAGGTTTACCTTTAGGTGGGGAGACATAGATCAAAAGTGTAAGATCGTGTTCTGCATCGAAAGGGTAGTCATGGCAAGAGCTCTGCAAAAGCATTCACCAGAGCAATTAGAAGATTTAATTTCAATTCCTGATTCTGACATCACGATGAAACCAAGATTAGCCACTTCATTCATTCTGATGCTAAGGTTTCCTTGGACTGAAAATAAATGCATCGGAACAGAAATCTGAAGTCTTTTTCGGAAATCAAAGTACAATGCACATCACAACAGGCAGACTGCTTCGTTATGCCTTTGCGTAACTAGGCCCACCCACCTGGTGTGTGCTTGTCTGCCACCTGCCTAGAGAGACCCGCTCACAAACACAGCCTCTAGGAAGCGTGTCGTAAAACTCCTGTGACGCACAGTCTTTCCTATGGCCTAAAGGGGGCCAATCTGGGAAATTTCTAAAAAGCTATTTGATAAAACAGTCTATGGAAATATCAGACGTCTTCACTTCACCAACAGGTTGTATCAAATCCAGCCAAAGGTGACTTTCTGAAACTTGGAGCACGGTCTTGCACTGGCAGTGTAGAACGTTAAACTTAACACACTCTAGACATATCACACGCTCCTTTACACTGTGCTCAGTGGACAGATATCACAGGGCCCACCGGACACGCAACAGTATCCTACAGAGCCTGAAATTTGGCAAAAGAAAGCTTATCTCTAGAGTCTGATCTTTCTAGTAGGACGCTGTAGGGATGACAGCCTGCAGCAAGGGGTGAGGAGGGACGACATGGGAAGGCGCGAGCAGCTCACTTCCAGGCCTGGTGTGAACCTGAAGAGCACAGTCACCACACTGTTTGCTGGAGGCTACCTCATGCTGGGCACACCGAAGGAACCACTGCCACTGAGCTGATGACTCAGAAACTGGGCTATGAAAGAATGCAACGATGAACTTCAGCAGTTAGACTCACCGATACAACTTAGACATAGTATACTCACAAAAATACGGTATTTAAAAAATCATTCTAGTGTCTTGGGCTTCTTTTCCAACCATTCTACATACTGTTCTACATTCTGAATGGATAGCTAAATCTGGAGCCCTTAGGTGGCAGGACAAACAGGAACCTAACAATGACAAAGCATAACGAAGCCCATGCTAGTCTAACTACTAATCTTATATAAAGGAGACCCAAGCATCCTGTTCAATGGATTTTGATGTGTCACAGAAGCTCTTGCCATTGGGTAAATGATCTTCATGCCACTGAACAAGAGTTTGACGAGCCTCTCCTTAACTTTAGACAAAAATCCTAAGCAAAAGCTGAGCAGACCTGAAGACTGTCTTACACCAGTCTCTGCAGAGGGCCAAGGCACCGCCCATACTAACAACCCACACAAGAAACCTACCAACAGGCATACACCCCTGCGTCCCTTCCTGATAACCCGAGACAGCAGCCGAAAGACGCGAGTGGGGTCACCAATCACCTCATCTTTTTGTTGTTGTTGTTGTTATGAGCAGAATATATTTATTGAGAGAAAGGAAGCTCCTGTCCGAGAGAGGGACAAGAGTGGGACCCGAGTATAACCTCATCTTGTACTTGGTTCTCCAAAATGCTCTGTACTCCACTGCTCCCCACACACACCCTAACTCGGACACTGTAACTGAATTATTAGCTCACTCTCTCCCCTTCTGTATCCCCTACTCTCTCTCTTAGGCAGATTCTGTGGACTACTTGGTTATTTCCGCCAGTGCCTCACTTTGGCACCTGCTGCTTCCAACCCAATTCCACATTTTCCCTACTAGACTCCACTTTTGTGTGTCTTATCTCCTGTCACTGCTGCTGGTGGCTTCTCCCAATGGAACCCGTGCCTCAGCACGCCTGGGCGCTGCTTTCTGAGTTTACCTGCCGCCTTCACTCTTCTCCTCCTTACTCACCTGAATCATTTCTATTCTGAGGAAATTTCCTGCCTTCAGGCCCCATCTCAGACTCATAGGCACCTCTAACAACAGTTTCCCGTAAACACCTCACCCATCAACTCTGTATCCTACCCGTTTTTCCTTACTGAACAGGGATGCTGCTGTAGTCTATATCCAATTCCTAGCCCAGTGTTCAGCCTGAGAGCAGCATATGAAAGTTACAGTAATCTTTCATTAAACTAGAGAAATAAAACAGTAATTTCATTTTAGAGTATTTTAAGGTCCTTGAAACCTTGATATAGATGACTGCTAAGCTTAACTATCAATAGTCTTTAGTTTTAAAAAATTTTATGAAGACAAATCATTGTTGCCTTAACGTAGATTGCTTTGGCTACAGTTTTTTGTATTGGTTAGAGTTCTCATACATTTACTGTCTCAGATTTATTTTAAAGTGCTGTACCTTAATATAAACTACTAATTTTAAAAAATCAGCTCAGGAAGCAAACAAAAATGTAAGAGGAGGGGCCAGGGAGATAGCTCAGTAGAGTAAGTGCCTGCCTGGCAAGTGCAAGGTCCTGAGTTCAAAGGGGGGATGGGGGATGGAAGAGGAAAGTAACACTTTATTCCCTACTGTATTACAATTTCCTTAAATACTATATTCCTGTTACTTTTTACCCTACTGTGCTAATGTACCATTTTATTTTACTGCCAAATGTAAGGAAACTAAGGCCCAGAGAGCCTAAATAAAATTTAAGGCCACACTGTCTGTCCTATGCACCCTGTGGGAAAAGGTGGCTTCAAATTCTCTCTGTGAGGCAATCACACTCTTCCCACCTAGATAATTATGAACAGCTAAGTGAAAGTTAAAGAACTGTATAATGTACTTACCTTGGAAAAACTATCAGAAAGATTAAATACTGTTTTAAATTGTACACACTCAGCAAGCCACTTCATATGCATATTTAAATACATTAAATAGTAAAATGAATCTCCACTGAAATTAAAACATTAAATCAAATGCTTCAAAAAAACCAGATAAATTTTTTTAGTCTGTTAAATCACTTAACATAAAGTTTATCATATACTACCTTCTTTTGAGCAGCTTCCTTCTTTTTCTTGTCGTCTTTTTTCTTTTTCTTTTCTTCCATCAACTGTTCGTCTTCTTGCACTAAACCCCTGAACCATATAGTAGCAATTAACTTTCCCAAAATGTATTAAGAACAAAAATAGCTGTACACAGATGCATTTTGATTAGAAGACAAGACAAACTTTTATCTTTCACTAAAATAAAACACAATCTGCAACCTAATCGTGCAACATTGTATGATTCACTTTTCTTAAATCCATAGGACTTTCCACAAGTACAACTGCTTTTATCTTACTGATGTAGCAACAAGACAACCTAAAGCTAGCACATTTTATACTGGAAAATGAGCAATTCTCTCCAATTCTGACACGTAAAAGCTATCAGGTAAGTTAGTGCTATGTGACACTTTCTTACTGGCGGACACTCCAGTTACAAACAGTAGCTAATCCACTCCTGCACAAGCATCCTGGGTACCATTTGTTAGCTTTCCTTTTTCCAAACAACTTTAGAAATAATTTTAGGGTACAAGTTGTATTCACACACAGGTGGTTTGTACTTCGGCATTACATTAATTTTATATTCTACAAACATCTCAAAAGTATTCTATCAATTCTTAGTAAACAATCTATGCTTTATATAAATTTAAATATATTAAATCAAATGCTCAAAGTTGTCAAAAAATCCTCTGGCTTAGAATTTCAAAATGTGTCTCTCCTTACCCTGCTATCCTCCACCTAAATTTAGAGAAAAAGTCATAATTGCACTCATAGCTGATGAATAAACAAGAGTGAAGAAAGCCACATTCAAGAATAAACACAGTCTATAAAAGGATGTACCTGTCATCCTATCTGGTGAAACTCCAAAAAGGTCTCAAGATCAGAAAAAGAGAAGTAGGGATGGGGCAAAAAGGCTGCCTAGCACTGTCCCAGGCCGCCTGCTGCCCCACCGCTTGCACTCTTCCTAAAATAATCCTCAGGGGTCAAAGGGCAGCCTTTGCAGCAGCCCGCCCCAGACCCCTGAAGCACTGCCCAGAAGTCTGGGTCCTTCACCTAAGCCTGCACCCACCTTGGATTCAGGGAAGCGGAGCCTTAGGACCTCTCCACAAGCTCACCCCCAGGCTGGAGCACTCACCCCACAGGAAGTGAGGCTGCCCCTCTGGGCAGGAGGCTTCATCCTCTCCTCTCCTGTTAGGACCTGGGTGACCCCTCAAGCCCTGATGGCTCTCCCCAGACCCCACAGAAACAGTTCTAATAACCCAGATCTATCACAACGCCATCTGTCCAGCAGCCCTGAAGGCTCACCAAACTTCCCAGCAACAAAAACCGTAAGTCCTTCACTCTGCTCCTTTTGCTTTATAAACCCCGATGTTTTTGTCAACCCCTGAAAACAGATCCTGACTTCTTGTGCTTCCTTCCCAGCATGGCTGTGTTAAGTAAAGCCCCTTCCTTGTCCCTCATCACTGTCCATCTCCTTGGAGACACAGGGTGAGTGGCTGAGCCTGTCCGCCGGGGCTTTCTTCACCTGGAGCTTACCCGGTAACCACACCTAACACAAGGTGGGGGAAACTTGCCCCTGCTATCTGTGCTCATCACCCTGAGTTAGAACCTGCAACTTCGGTCCTAAGGCCAACAAGCCAAGAAGTTACTGTACCAGATACTTAAATAATGATCACAAACAAAAATATGTAACAGTTCCCTAAGGAAGCTTGCTGGAGGAAGCAAGAGGTACAGGGATACGAACTAGACTACTGGGAAACAGAAAAGCATAAGGCCAGAATGCACAGGGCAGTGGGGACGAAGCAGAAGGTAAAATGAAAACAAGTACCCAAAAACTACAAGGGTGCGCTACAGTGAACACAGTAAAACGAAGGTGGCTTTTCTGATGCAGTGAAAAATGAATGCATGGCAAGGACAACGGGTAACACGCAGCTTAGTAAATGTAAGTACATGGCTGCTCAAATCAGCCAACAGGTAAAAGAGGTGGAGGGCTCCTTGCTCTGCCTCAATGCCCTCTGCGATGAGGAGATCTGCCACGGGCAGCAGGAGCAGCAGTGCAAACTCGTCCCCACCGACCATGACTCGCTCAATCGCGTTCTGGGTGAGGACACGGGGCGGACGCTCACTCACCTCACTCACACTTCGAGCTTGGGAAAGCCAAGGGCTGAGGAAAGCGAGGGCAAGAGAGAGAGGCCGAGGAGGAGGAGGAAGAAACAGAGGGAACTGAGGTCGTACACTACTGCTGCGCTTCCAGTCCTGAGATGGGAATCAAAAGCCAAAGCTGGGCTGGGGAGATGGCTCAAGTGGTCTAAAGCACCTACTTAGAACAAGCTCAGCAAAGCACAGGGACGGCGGTTCAATCCCCCAGCACCACATGCCAGCCAGCCCCGCCCCCTGGTGGGCTGAGCTGGCCACACACACACATACACACACACACACAAATAAATAAATAAATAAAAATTAAAAAAAAAAGCCAAAGCTAATTACCAGTTCTGATCACCTACATTCAACCTCCCCGTCTTCAGATTAAAACTGGGGATAAATGGCCACGTGATGGCCACTCCATGGTATTTTATAGGCATAGAGAGGAATATGTGCTAGCACAGTTTCTAAGTACTTGCCTAGAAATGAGAGCATCTCACCGGTACACAGCAGCACCCAAGACTGCCTACCCCACGCGTCAGGGATAACCATGAGCATTCGTTCTTTGCAGACTGTCAGGTACAGATGTGCTCGTCTGAGCTGTCACTGTAGCTGTTCTCCACAACATGTGCTCTGGGTGGAATTTTTTCTCCTTTGTCAAACTTCACACACTTCTGTTGACGTTACGTTTTACTAGATGGAAACAGTCCTCATGGTACTTAAAGATGTGTACATCTCCACTCAGGATAGTATTACAAAAACACCGGAGGGCCAGGGAGTGGAATAAGTGCTTCCCTGGCAAGCGCAAGGGCCTGGGTTCAATCCCCGGTTCCACACACACAAAAAAAAAACCCCAAAAACCAAACCTGATACTCTAAACATAGGAAAAAAGTTTTGTCCAACATCACCACACCTATTAACCATATTTTCTCTGATCTCCTATTTAAGAAAACTAAACTGGGGTAGTGGAAGGGTAAATCTGCCAAAACATATATACACACTTGAAGAAAAGAAAAATAGTACGATTTTTTTTCAACAGATGGTGTTACCTCATATGGGGGACTCTAGAGGAAGTCATATATCACAGAAAAGCCACAGCCCTGGGGGCCCTGAGGGAACAAACGGAAGATACATGGTGGCCACCTCGTGACCCAGATGCCTGGGAGCTCACTGCCACTGCCATGAGCACCTCTTGTGATGGTAGAGGCCAAAGGTAACTTGCACGAATCTCACGGTGTCTCAATACATTTGGTATTAAAATACTGGTACAAGTTTTTCTTTTCCTGAAGTATGTATAGATTTTTTTGGCAGACTGTGTGTGTGTGTGTGTGCGCGCGCGCACAGATATAGGTAAATAACAATTCCATCTGTGCCCAAATACCCCTGCTTCCATGATTCAAATGCTAGTAAAGATTCATTTAAGACATCTAACTATATCAAGGTATCTATCAAAAGGAATAAAAGTGATGGATCGGAAATGTCCAAGTGCCACAAAGACATTCCAATCAATAATCATTCACTCTTCAAGGATACTGACAAGATACTTTGGGTCTGTAAGTTCTGCGAACCTGCATTACAACTTTATGCAAACTGGACTCTGCTTTCATTGGTACTTAGTGTTTTGGTTACTTACACCCCGTGTCACACATACAAAGCCTCTGAGGTAACAGCAGACAAAGAAAAACCAGTCCCTGAGGGATCTTCAGACGACAGAGATGCCTCTTCCCTAGCTGGAGATGAGTGTATACTTATCGAATCCATCACCTATACACCCAAGATCTGTGAACTCTGCTGGATGCAAGCTGTTTTTCAAAGTTATTTTTAATACACAAAATAAGAGAATGAAATATTTGGATTGGAGAAAATTCACAGATCAAGATTAAGATGGCATAATCTACTCCTATATTCAACCTGAGTTTTGGATTTTGCTCTCATCTTCCAACAACCAATACAAGTCTTTTATTGCTTGGTCTAGGGATGTGTTCCCTGAACAACAAGCAAAGACAGATGTATCTGTGTTAGCTGCAACCTGCTCAACGGTTCTAACTTTTAGAAAGTTCTGCCTGCTAAGCCAGTCTGTTTCCCTGCTGGTCCTGCAAAGCCAGGAATGATAAACCTCTGGGTGACTCAGGTGTTGCTGTGGCCTCGTAGGGCACTGTAGTGTACTTTTTACTTGGTAACTGAAAATACTTCGCTTCTCCGGATGAAGAACCCAAAGCACAGAAAGGTTAAGGCCACATGACCAGCACAGGGTGGGGTCGAGACTGAACGCTAGAATTTGAGATGGCAATCTTCCCTTCAGCTACGCACAGTAACTCTTGAAGTATGAGCTTTCTTTGTAGTAGGAGTAGAGAGAATAAATCACCGCTCTCGTGGTAAGCTATGATATATCTTACTGAGAGTGTATCTTTCCCCCACACTGTATGCCTCCACAAGCCTTATTTCCCTACACCTTTTATAAGAACTCTTTTAACAGGACGTACCACAAGAAACACAGAAGTAGGGGCCGGGGAGATGGCTCAGTAGAATAAGCACTTGCCTGGCAAGCACAAGGGCCTGAGTTCAATCCCTGGTTCCACAAAAAAAAAAAAAAAAAAAAAGAAAGAAAGAAAGAAAGAAAGAAAGAAAGAAAGAAAGAAAGACAAAGTATCCAAGTTCCAGGAACTATGAGCATGTGATTAGGAATAAGAACTGAGAAAGTACCAAGGAAAACAAAGACCGAATCACTGATTTTTTTCTTTCTCTCTCCTCTCCTGCCTCCCCTTCCCTCCCCTCTCCCTCCTTCCCTCCTACGTGTGGTACTGGAGAATGAGACCTCAATGCCTCCTCAGGCCTTTTTAGTTCTGCAGACAGGGTCTCACTGAGTTAACCATGGT